CTCATCATACTTGTAGAAGCAAAACTCCCTATATTTGGTTGTGAGGTCGATCTACTTGTTTCCTTTAACTGCATAACTTCTTGTTGTAGACTCTAAATTTCTTCTATAGGCATAGGCACAGTACCTCCATAATTCACGTTATAAATTTATGATATTTCTAATCTTAAGATGCTCATAAGCTCATGAAGATCAGCAATAGTTGCAAATCCATTTTCACTTCCATTGAGAGTAGTATCCATAATTTTTTCTTCCATAGCCAATTCAAAAAAAAATTAAAATTTAAATTAAATGAAAGTAATTTGTAACCTCTAATAAAAAAATTCTATAAAGAATGATAATCCACTCTCTTTAAAAAAAAAATATCATTGTTAGGAAATAAGATTTTTTTTGTTTAAAATGGATAGTTTGCAACCTTCAAAATACAACAATAAAAGTGGGATAATCCACTCATTTTTAAAATAAGATAAAAATAGTATGTTAGTACTCTTATTAAACTGTCAAAGATATGAATCTCGAAGAAAGAAAATCTTCAATACACAAGAGTGTTTTATAAAATTAACCTATTTTTATCTACTTTCATCTATACCTACCTAATCATATAGGTATTTATTATAATACCTATGTATTTACATGACATCAACTCAATCAAGCAAAAGTATTTACAAAAAAAGTTCTATAAAAAGTATACAACTTGGTCTGTATTAGAAAAAAAAATGAATAGAAGATTCTTTTTCAAACTAAGTATGGAAAATCTGAATATAATATCATACCTTTTGGACTCAATTTGTATGAAAATTTTAGAGAATTCTTTTTAAGATTTTAAAAGTAGATATAAAGCTCTCTTTGGCTTTTTATCTTCAAATTTATTTGTAAATAGAATGGATGAATTAAATTATAAAGTAGTATTTGAAATGTACCATCAAGTATCATCAAGATGATTAAATAATTCTTTTTCCATTAATAAAATTTATATATAATAATTTGGTATATTTTTCTACTCAATAAATACTTTTTTTTCTCAATTATGGTTATGATCTATGACTTGATACTTTTAAATTTTCAAAAGTTGATAATCTTGCTATTGAAGATTTGATAAATTATTTGTCAGAGCTACATACAAAACTAAAGGTACAATTAAAAGAAGGTCTAGAATGACAAAAAATTAATGCTAATTCCTATTATAAAGAACAACCACAATTCAATGTAGGTGATAAAATATGATTACTTCTCCACAATATCAAGACTACTCATCCTTGTAACAAGTTACATTATCATAAGTTTGAAACTTTTTTATTTGTGAATAAGTCAATTTTGTTACTTATTGATTACATCTATTACAGTTTATAAAGGTTCTCTATATATACCACGTATCTTTTTTTGAGCCATATAAGACAACAAATATCTTAAAAAGAATTCAAATGTCACCTCCTCCTATAGAAGTCGATAATAATCAAGAATTTAAAGTAGAAGAAGTCTTAGATTCAAGGTGGTGCTAAAATAGATTGAAATATCTTATTCATTGGCATGGATATAATATTAGTGAATTCATATAGGAGCTAGCAAAGAATCTTGTAAATGTAATAAAGAAGGTTGAGAATTTTCATCAATGACATCAATCAAAACTAAGATGAAAAAAAATAGGTTTTATGAAAGATGAAAACTACTCTTTATAAAAATTGTCCCTAAAAAGGAAAGATAATATTATGGACATACGTATTTAATCTAATAATTACCTATATAATTAGATAGAAGTAGATTAATATAGATTAATTTTATAATAACTTCTAGAAAAGCTTTCTAGAAGCTTCTTAGATATAATTTTGATATTACACATGTTTGTAATTGATTGGAAAGTTAAAAATTTGATCAAGTAATTAACCATATGCCATACATGTTAGGAGCTTGTGGAATAAGCTAACTATTTGGCACTCCTATAGGAAACTTATATTGCAAGTTAAGACATATGTCTAACAAAATTAATACGAGTTTGAGGTCTTATAGAATATTGTTATGTTGCTCCTAGTTAGATAGCATATATGGAAATAAGAATGAAGCCTTCTTCCATCTTATCAATGTCTTTCTAATTCTTGGTCTTGTTTTAAAACTTTTTAATCTTCTTATCTTTGATAATTACTATTTTAATTTAATATTATATCATCTTTGAGTGGTTTTCTAGTCTTTTTTTTATTGACATAAGAGTATATTGATCTTTTAATTCTTTGAGGTTTATGTCATTGATAAAGTAAAGTAGGTCCAAAGAAAAAGATAGGATCTAACTAATACATATATAAACAATAAAGATCTCCGCAGCAAGAAGATATGTATTTTTTTGAACCAACTATGAACTTCTTGACAACAAGGCATTGTAATGTTGTTTCTTTTGATGATTTTTTTTGACTAAAAATACAAATGAAATTCGTGAATTAGTAGGTGATACAAATTTTAGAATCTATCTTATTTATGAGGTTGATTTTAACCAAGAAAAAAGATAGCATTGGAATCTACAACATGTTAGTGATAGAAGAATAAAGAATCTATAAGAATATTTGTTATATTTGAATGACAAGAAGCTTGCAAGGTTTTTTTTCTTTTTCAAGTTGTTCTTCTTTTGAAATATAAGTTGTCAATATTCTATATCATTATTAATAGGCGTATCAATTATATGAGTGCATGTAGTTTTTTATGATGTAAAAAGATAATTTTTTATTTTTATTTAAAAAAAATATAAGTGTGGATATACTTTTGTGATCTAACTTATTGATGTTGTTTTTGAATTATTCTTGATATATCATAGGATCTTGCAAGTATTTTTTATCAACTATGTTGAGTTGTTTTTTTAAAGGATTATGCTTAAACAATCTCTACAATATTATTCTTTTTTTATTGCTAATTTCAAGAATTGGCACCTAATAACCTATTATATATTAAGACATACATTCCTTATGATTTGTCAGTAACATTTATAAGAGGGTATTGTGATATGCTTTCTACCTTCTTTAATGAAAGTAAAAAGATAGAAAGCATATCAAAATGCCCCCTCTCTCTCTCTCTAAAAATATTACTTTTAATTGGCTTGTCTTTCTGCCTATAATTTGCAAATCAAAACTCAATTTCCTTCCTATGTCAAAATTCTTATCCACATCTTATCACTCAATATACCATGCCAAAATTATCAATACTTTAGATTCAAAATCACAAATGCAAGTTTTAGTTTCAAAACTTTTATGTAGAGTCATCATGTCTAAATTCAATCACTAAGGAAGTTGCAATTTTTTTTAATGATGATTATGACATGATAGATCAACTTAGTAAAAGAATAGGTCTATTTATCATTATACATATATATATATATATATATATATATATATATTTCATTATAAGTTTTGAGATAATATAAATAAATGTATAATGTTTTTTTTTTACAAGAAAATATATCAATTATAAGAAATTATTAATTATTAGAAGTGGTGTATAAAAAAAAGAATAAAAATCATTTTTACTACAACCCTATAATTTTAGCTTTTTTACTTCTACCTTATTAACCACATAACTTTGCCTCACTTAATTATATATAGCCATGCGGCCTTTGTTAATTGCTTTTGTTGATTAATAAAAGTCAATGAAATTCAATCAATTATTAAAAATCACATATTATTATTTATACACTATAGAATGGAGTTGGTTCTTAGATTTTTAATTAATCATTAAAAGTTATTAGTTACTTTAGAAATTAATTGTTGATAAAAAAAACTATATATATATATATATATTTATACATATATATAATAAAAATAATAACAAATTTTGATTTTTTCGTAAGCATAAACTTGCAGCTTATAACTACATTTCAAATACTTTTTAAGAAAACATTTATTATATCTGATTATAACAATTGAAATCATAACAACTATGTGATAACATATATTGGTAATATTTGTGTATTTTGTAAAAAAAATCATTAAATTATGTAATTTCATGGATATGAATTAATTTAAAGAATGATAGCATTAAAATTATTTGAATTATACAATGAGTTAGCACAATTAAAATGTTTTACAGTACCTTACTTGTGGTCAATAATAATATGAATACAAACAGAAATATAAATGATTAATTCATATTTTTTGAAATTAATTAAAAAAATGTGAACCCGAAATTATTTATCTAAATGTACAATCACATCAAAATTGAATTTCATACTTTGATATTATATTAAGTTTATAAAAACTTTGGTTGAAGAGTTAAATGAGGATTTTTCTGGAATTGATAAAATAGCACCTACATTTCATGCAATCTGGTGTTATGTGTTTTGTAAAAATTATTAAAAAAGTATTTAGAGAACTACAAGGTGTTTGTTGATAGGAATGCAGAATCGATAGTCATGCAAAAAGGAGAGTGGGATGAAAGCGAGAGAGGTAGTTGGGAAGAGTCGGCTCAACATTCGTTCGTGAATGAAAGTAGATCACCAAAATATCGGAAATTCTGCATAACCGTCTTCGCCTGCTGGCGAGTTGTTGGGTTCTGTTTTGAAATGGGCGGGGGCGGGGGATTCAAGTGGAGGATTGATGGTTCCAAGCCTGGGGATGAGTAGGGAGGGAGCATTCATTCGAGCACCAAGAATGCATGCATAGGGACACATGTGAGGAGAAACAGACAGACAGATGTAGGTCATCCACAATCTTTCATCGGGGTGGTTGATGGGGCCAAGAGAGGAGAAAATTCAAACTGGCAAGAAAAGGGTGACAGTGGGGGGATGGGGAGGAGAGGGAGAGGAGAGAAGAGACGAGGCGAAGAGAGAGCGTGGGATTGTGCAGGCATATGCAGGCAGGCAGGCAGCAAAGCAGCAAGGCAAGCAGAGCCGGCCTCCACAAAAGAAATGGGTCAGTCTCTGAAAGAAATGGCCATCCCCACTGCAGCTCCTCCTCCGTAGGACACAGTCTCAGAGAGTAAGGGAGAGAAGGAGATAGGGAGGGAGGGAGGGAGGGAGGGAGGGAGGGAGGTGGAGAAGGAAACAAGGGAGACGACGACAGCTACAACACCATTTTGAGGGATACAAGCAAAAGAGAGGGAAGGGGAAGGGGAAGAAGAAGCAGAAGCTGTAGTTATCAGCAGAGGGACTAGGACTCTGGAGGGAGACGGGATTTTTCCACCTCTTCCACTGCACTCTTCTTGCTCTCTTCCGCACTGATTTTCTGCCTCCCTCACCACCATCACTACAATCCCACTCCCCCCCATCCCTCCTCTTACCTCCTGTCTCGCTTTCTCGCTCTCCCCCTCGTTCTCTCAATCCACCACCACCTGCTGGAGCGCGCAGCATCGGGGACCGATTCTCTCCTTTTGTAAGTCATGCTTCTCTTCTCTAGGTTTCTCGCTCCCATCTCCTCCCCCTCTCGTCCTGCCATTCCTTCTTTCTCTTGTTTTCTGTGCTTGTTACTATCCGTTTGAGATTGCTCTCTTGGACTCTTACCTTCATGGGGCTCCTTCCCCTTTCTCCTTTTGAATATGCTTGTTGCTTCTCCTCCTCCTCGTCCTCCTCTCTCCTTTTTCCTTTCTTCTTACTGATATCCTGGATGTCCCTTCTTTTACGTCTTTCAGCTCCCTATGAACGCTCACGTATTTCACTTAGTGCTATGACCGTTCTTAACTGACAGTGTCGATGATAGTTGCTCAATATTGAGTACGTCTAGTTGTTACATTTTTGATGGAGTACAGCTAGCTCTTTCTAAGCTTCGCAGCTAGAGACTGCGATTGTGTCGAACGGATTCTAAACAAGTTAGGTGCGAAAGAACCTGGAATGAGTGACAATTATATTTTTACTTTTTCTTGCTTTGCTTGGTGCAAGCTCTCGCTATCCGAGAGCACATATACTAAGGATCTTAAAGTTCCATCATGAAGTTCTTCGCTACTCCACATCCTTTTGAACTTCAAAGCGTGCGTGAAATGTTTTTTTTTTTTTTTTTAATGGATATTTTTCGCAATCTGTCTTCTTCTAGTGCGTTCCAAAATTGGTTGAGTGATCATGTTGCATCACATGGGGTGCGATTGCATTGGGCGAACGTGTTGAGAGTCGGTTAGAAACAGTTCTTCAAAGGGCTGCTACTACGCAAAAGCAATGTCCCTTTGAACATATTACTAGTTATTGTACGCTAAGCTTTACTGGTTCCTTGGTTCAAACTTGGGACCGAAATTCACTACTCTTGAGAAGTGCTCTGTTGGGGAATTAGTTCAACCTTGCAGTAAGCGGAAATATTTGTATGAAGTGTAGGTCCAATGAACAATACGCTCTTCTAGTGGTTTTGATTTCCACCCTCGCTTTCTATATCCCATGGGTTCTGAATAAAGGGGTTCCGTACTCGAGTTGGTTACACAGATAAATGTGTTGTAACCGTGTAGCTTCTATTCGAGTTTTGGGGTGTCGCGTTATAATGGTGTTTATTTCGATTGCTTGTCAAGGGTTTAAGTAGCTTTAAATCCCATAACTGAGGTTGCCGCTGTATTGGATTTGGCACTGCTGCCATTCAATGCACTATAATTTGTTAAAGTGAGATTGAGTGACAAGTACCTTAGACCTCCAATCTTGTAAACTCGTAAAGTGACAGCACCGTCATAACTAGAACATAACGCTCCACTTAGTAGAATAGTTTTTTTTTTTTTTTTTTTTTTTTTTTTCTTTCTTTCTTTCTTTCTCTTTTTCATAGGTTTTTGAGTACGGCTTGAGGTAGTTCTTTGTTTCTCAAACATTCTTTATCAAGAACCTGATTAGGGCAGCGTACATTCATGGAATGTTACGTCCATCCACAAGAGTTGTTTTGTTCGTGTTCTTCCTCAATGCTTTATTGGGTTTGTTAAAGTATCAAGTGCTAGTTCATCTTTTGAGAATCAAGGCACGTAGCTCTTGCGAATTTTATTTTTTATTTGGCCCTGCAGGAGCTACTGGCATACCAGCGTACCTTAAGCGCTTGAGCTGGTCGTCATCAACATCGTTAGTCATAGAGGAAGAGGAACAGTTTTCTGTATGAATGCTTGACAGCGTGCATTAGTAGGGAATGGGTAATGATCTCGAGTGAGTATTGAGCAAGTATCACAATTTAAAGGGTGTTAAGGAGTTTTACATTTTACGATGCCTCCGAAGCGCAAGGCTCTCCCTGCTGCAACCAAGGAAGAGAATGAAAATGCTCCAGCGGTGAAAAAGCAAGGTCGTGCTAAAGCTTTAGCTCCCCCTCCACCTTCAGAGACTGATCACAAAGCTGCCGTCTCTCCTGCACCACTGAGAAAATCAGAAAGAAAGCCAAAGGTTTTAGTTAAGGTAGAGGCTGATAAACCTGCAGCTAAAGCAAAACCTGTATCTAAAGAGAAACTGGGATTAAAGGAAAAGCCTGCAGCCATTGCGAAATCTAATGAGAAGCCGCCACCAACAGAGAAACCCGCTCCCAAAACCAAAGCACCCCTCAAAGCCAAAGCTGCTGCTGCGAAGAAATCTGCCCCAACAAAAACGAGTAAGAAGGAAGCCGAGGAAGAAGTGAGCCAAGGTGAGGATCATGACGGGACTGCAGCTCCTAAGTCAGAAGCTCCATCAAAGAGGAAGACTGAAGCATTGAAGAAACCTAACAATGAAGCTGAATCGAAGGAAAATGGAAACAAGGGTCAAGAGGAGGGAGTGGAGGCTGTTAGGTCCAAACCTCCATCGAAGAGAAAGGCTCCGACAGTGAGGGAAGCTAAGAAGGAAGCTGAAGTGAAGGAAAGTGTAAATGAGGGTCAGGAGGTTGAAGTGTCTGCTCCGACAGCGAAAGCTCCTGCAAAACGGAAGGCTCCAGCAGCCAGGGGTGTTAAGAAGGTCAGTAAAGAAGAAGATGACGAGGAAGAAAAAGATGATAAATTAGACGAAGAACAAGAAGAAAAAAGAAAAGGTGAGGGCCAAGTCGACGATGCTATAGTCTCAAAAGCGAAATCTCTACCCAAGAGAAAGGCTCCAGCGGTTAAGAAAATGTCTGCAATGGCGAGGGGAGCTAAGAAAACGAAAGAAGAGAACAGTGAAGATGAAGTTGAGGAGGAAGGTGAAGAGTTTATGGAGGAAATTGAAGTCCCCAAAGTGGAAATTCCTGCAAAGATAAAGACATCCCCAACTAAGTCAGACATGAAAGAAAAAGAAGAACAGGAATCTGAAGACGTGAAGAGCGAAGACGAGAATAAAGAGGAAGAAGTGTCTATTCCCAAAGCAAAATCTCCAGGGAAGCGAAAGGTTGCACCAGCAAGGGCAGCAAAGAAACCGAAACAAAATGAAAAGGAAACTGAGAAAGTGGAGACCGCAGACGTTGCTGGAGAAGAGGTAGCGGAGGAAGCTCCCAACTTTGATTTCAAAGCCACGGAGGATACGGATGGAATGAAGAAGTCGGTCATTATTGAGCACTGGTATGTGAAAGCCTGACTTCTGTTGCTTGTTGTAGGCTTCCCATTGCATCCGCAGTGATGCTAGTCTTCAGGATCGTAACTTTCTTGTCTGAAAAAGAAAACAAATATTTATGAAGTTTATTTTTCACTGATTTAAGTTTCTCCAACATCGATTTCTCTGCAACTTTATTACTTTGAATTGCTCATGAGAAACTGATCATGCTATTGTTTGACATCGTTTGTAATTGCAGTGTATTTCCTGACGTTGTTCATTGTTTTGTATTGTGTGTATACCTCTTGGTTGTAAATCAGCAAACAGTGTAATTCCTTCAAGACACGTGCACTGAAAGTTCAAGATTCTCTGAAGGCAGCAATCACAAGTCTGAAAGTCTCAATCAATCCAGAGAAGGTAAGCAATACTTCTAATAATGTAAGATTGAAAGAAGCCCTATATGAAGATCTTACACTTGCCGACAGAATCTAGAAAAATTCATGTGTACCTTCAGAAATCGAGATTCTGAGACCTTTTTGAATTGGGAGAGTCCCTATCAGATTAGTTTTGATTAAGCATTTCAATGAATGCGTGTTAGGAAGTAAGAGTAGTCTTATTGACCATTATTTATTTGTGTATACTGTGTGTGATGTATACTCGTACTCTATTTGGATTTCAGTTGGTTGCCCTTCATGAATATTTATGTTCTAAGAATGTCGTTCTTGCAGCCGAGGAAAGGTTGCTTTGAAATCAGGGACAGTGAAGGGAATATCTTTATTTCACTGCAGGTACTGCTGACGTGCTGTAACTATTTTCCTTTCCCTGTATCCCATGTGGTGCAGCAGTCTAGATCTCTACTTGTTGGTCCTACAAGGAATGTGCCTGAAACAGTCTTTTACACGGCAAGATGTGTATGGTGACTATGTGCACCTCGAATTAAGCTGACTTTTTGATTGTACTTGCAGGATATGCCTAGACCATTCACCAAGCTCAAAGCTCTTGACCTCGGTCAAACCGCAGCAGATATTGTCGCAAAGTTGACTTAGACAATCTGGACAATATTGTACTCTGATGCTAAATAGATACCCCGCTCGTAAGCTTGGTTTGGATATCGAGTTTTTGAATTTTTGAATTTTTGGAACTTAAAGTGGAGTCATTCACAAGCAGATTCAGATATTTAGCCTTAGATCTAATTTTTAGTTATGAGAGTTTGGGTGTATGATTTCCCACCTACACTCATTCGGTTGTAGTGCTTCTCGTGTTTGGCTTGTGATTAATTTAGCAGGTAGATGTTGTGTCAGATGTTATTGGGGAGGGAATTGTAGATTTGGTTTCTAGATGCAATCATGATGCATACCCCATTTGACATGTTTCGTAGAGAAGGTTAATTACTTGTCTGGGATCTGCACGAGCTAGCTTTGTTCTGAGAAGATACATTTACCAGACATAATGCTGAGGAGGCTCATGAAGTATTCAAAGTGAGGGATTTTATGTTTTGTATTTCAGTTTCTGGTCGTAGTGTGTTGGAGTCTTCGTAGAAAAGGGCAAGTTTCCAGGGCAATTTTTTTAGACGGAACTAGAGGGGAACCCAGCTTTAGAAGATCGTTGTTTGGCAGTCCCTATCTAACTGGTAGTTGCCTACAATCTCATTTATATCTGAGATTGTCTAACATTACATGTACAGATAGAATGGTCTCTACGCATGATACGATGTAGCTCTGCCCACATAGATTGAGGGAGAATGAGGCAATATTCTGAACCTCAATATGTCAGTCACATGATACCATCACCTTCATCGGTGTTATTTCTCAGCGTTGCGAAATATCAGAAAAACTTACAGGTCTGACGCATGGTCTCTACTCATGATCAAATAGTCCTTTAGGAATGCAAATTTATTTGTTGCATTTATTTGCATTCGTCCCACTTGTATGTAATATGTGTCCTCGAGATTGTTGGATCAATGAAGAGTTTCAATCGGAGAATCATTACAATCGATTCTAAAAACAAATTGTAGTGATAATGCGTGGTAGTCAAAATATACCTGTACATTTAAGTTACTAACAGATTACCTAACAAAATGGTATGCACTCTTTAAAAATCTATACAAGTTGTAATTAATTACTCGTACAAAATCTTTCTAACAAAAGCACTCAATATGCATATATCTTACCATATATCATGGTTCTTTTGTAATTAAAAATGAAAAAAAGATAATAATTGTGTTAATTTTTTTAACACTACTTCCTTGAAACACTCTTGCTACAGTTCATAGAAAGATTAACTTATCTTCCTGTAGATTCAGCAATACACGGATTTGTTTTTTTAAAAAAGTGAAATTAAAACAAGAAAAACAATAAATTAACTATTGTCATTGTTATTGAAGCTTTCTTTTTAAAGTCCTACAATATTATAAATTTGTACTGTTATCTAATTTAATTTAGCTCCAAAAGATATTTTACTAATTGACTTGTAATTTATTTTATCTTCATAAAAAAAAAATCCTTCATAGTGTGTAATATAAAATCATAAACCATGGAATAATTATCCTGTTTATTACTGAAACTTCTTCAAATTCTTTAACTAAATACACCACATAAACATGGTTCATTTGATATTAGCTAATCTTTAGTATTATACTTTCTAAAATCTACTCAACAAAAAGTAAGATGAATATGAAAAGAAATAATATTTAAAAATATAGACATAGTTCATTTTTGTAAATGATTCATACAAGAAATATAGATAGTTAAAAGATAGTAATATACAAGTTTTGTTGTTTGTATATTAATTGCAAAAAAAATTAAAATATTATATACACTACAAATGCAAATAGTGTAAGTTTAAAAAAACAACTAATTGAATTTTAAAATATTAGTGGTTCTTAAAGAATTTAAATTATTTTAATATATTATAAATATATTAGTTAAAGAATAAATAATATTATTGATAAATTATAGATTATTTATTTATTTATTTCAAATATATATATATATATATTAGTGAATATTAAGTTTTCAAAGTAAATAGAAATAGATAAAAGTAGAGGAATATAGAAACATATTAGGTAGATAATAACTTCTTTAAGAAATATTAATGAAGCTTATAATTGTGGATTGGATCTATAGATTGTATTAGATATGATAGATGGTTATTTAAACTTCTTCCAAAAGTTTTCCACCTTTAAGAAGCTATCAAGGCAATGTTCTACAAGTTAGATACTTAGGTCTATAAACCTTACAATCCTGATTTTTTTTTTTTTTTTTTTTTTTTTTTTTTTTTTTTTTTGTCTAATTTAACTATTAATAAATAAAATAATAAAATAAATAAAGATGTTAATTTTTTTTTGTAGCAATTGTATCATCTCAAGTGATTTATAGAAAATTAATTGCATCTACTAAAGAACAATGAATTATTTTTTTAGTAAAATTTGGTGATATTAGATTCTAGCTTTAAGGTTTAATCAACTAAATACTTGTTATTCAGTTCTAATATCAAAGTTATTCAATCCAAGAATCTCAAGTTATATTTGTTAAAACATCACTAAATAGATTTACAATTTATTTGTTATCTTCATTATCAGAATAATCAAATTGAATATTGAATAATTAAAAATTTGAAAATTAAAATTTCTATTAGAAATACATCCAAATTATTAAACACTTTTATTTTAAATTTTTAATACAACTAAATATTAAATTCATTAATTTTTTTTAATATTGAATCAACTTGGATATATTTCTTGTAGAAATTTGATCTATATAAGGTAAAGATGAAATTACATACAATAAAAAAGCTGTAAATTAATATCTAAACACTTCTATATTTTTGTAAAAAATATTTCTACAAATCAGCAAGTTTAGATAGATGCAAAAGATATGCATATTAATATTTTATAATTTAAATCTTTATATATATATAATTTATTTTAAAAGAAGAATTATTCATATATTATGGAGAATCAAAAGATATTGCTTAATATTAGTTTAGTTTTGTGTAGGACCTAAAATTGTATATTTTATAGTTTTGTCTCATAAGTTTTATTTGTATAATGCTATAAAAAACTTATTATTTTAATATGTCTAATATTATATAATTTATATTTATTTATGGTTATTTTAAATATAAATAAATAAGTCAAATTCTAATTCAATATATTTTAGAATATATCTTGTTCATATAATAATAACTATATAAAATTAAAAATAATAATTGTGATTTCTTAAAAGTTCATATGCTATTAAATCAAAACGTTTTAATGTTATTTATGCATATTTTTTTTTTTTTTTTAATTTTTTTTTTTTAAATAAATCATTTATCACTTATGTATTGAAAATTGCATTTTTGTTGAAGATCAGCAAGTTCTTACTTAGTTACCACCATATAAAGATTAAGCATAGTAAGTTGCTAATAGTCAAAAGGCACCAAAGGATTAAAAGAAGTTACTATGGCAGTAGCTAGGATTTTAAGGTGGCGGCTAGGTTAAGATGAATCTAAATCTAGATCTAATTGAAAGGATGAAGGTGACTTTGGATGAAGTCTATGTAGTTGGGATGTAAACTCCACTTATAAGTAAAAGGTGTTGGAAGTAAGAGACATCTTTCTCCCCACTTCTTTTAGAATACAATCCTTGCTGATGCTAAGTGTTTGTAGCTTTTAGACTTCTTTTCTTCAATAGGTTATGGACCCACTCACATTTGCTTGAGTATTTTTTTGAAGTTCTTTGAAGTGGTTTTGTAAGTGTAGAGTAGATCAAGTTGTTGTTGTTGATCTTAGGATCTAGAAGTACCTAACTTTCAAATTCAGATGTAGAACTAGATCTTAGTTTGCTCTTACTTGTTGTTAAGAGCATTTTGGTGTTGGTATTTGGTTTTTTCACCTAAAGGCAAAGTTTGCATTATACTATTCCTGAGATAGATCCTTGGTGATCTAACTTTATAATTTCATGCCCTAAAATTGCTAATTGTGCTTAAAAAGCCTTTTATGGTGTAAAGAGGTGTTTTGTGAGTATAAGAGTGATATTAGAGTAGCAAATCAGATTTGAGACACTTAGATAGGTCATCCGACTTGTGAGAAGTCTTAGAAGTGAAGTTGAGAGTGTTTTTGAGAGTAAAAACACTAATTTGTTTACAAAGAAGGATTCTATGATTCTAAGGCAGCAAAACCTTCTTGCTGATTTTGAGAGCATTAGGACTTCTTCTTACAATATTTTTTGATACAACTCTTCTTTAGACATGGCTTCAAGTGAGGGTGAAGGATTGAGAGTTATTGAGAATTTTAGACGTGAAAATTTCTACCATTGGAAGGTAAAAATGGAGCTTTTGTTGGTGTCTTTGGATCTTTGGGATATTATAGTTGAAAGTGAAGAGGCTCCAAGCAAAGATGTTGATATGAAGGAGAAGAAGGAGTTCAAATATTGTGAAAAGAAGGCTTTTGGATTGATTGCAACTAATGTGGATGAAACCAACTTCTCTCACATTATCTCGTGGAAAGAACCAGTGGAAGCATGGAAGACTCTTTGCAACATCTATAAGAGCAAAAACTTATCCAACATTCATTCGTGGCAACAAATGGGACCTCTATGTCTGCCATGTCAAGATGAATTGTGGATTTAGGTTGTTCTAAGCATATGAAACCTTATAAGTATTCATTTAATACTTATAAAGTTATTCTAGCATCAAAGATGCTGTTGGTGGATAATAGCACATGTGGAGCCATTGGAATTGGCTCTATTATAGTAGAAGTGGTTGTGAATGGACAAACCAATAGGATTAGACTCAAAAATACCCTTCATGTACCTAAGATGAAGCAAAACCTACTTTCAGTAAGTAAACTTGTAATGAAAGAATTTAAAGTTCAATTTGACATGAATAGATGTTTTGTAAGAACATTGAGTGGAGACAAGGTTTTCAAATGCTTGAAAGAGAGAAATTTGTACTACTTCATTTGTAAGAAGGTGAATGGAGTAGAAATAACTACATTTACTGAGTTTATATCAAACCAAGACAAGTTGAATATATGACATCATTGCCTTAGCCATTTAAATATGAAGAGTATGAGAGAGCTCAAGACTATAGTAAGTGGCTTAGATCTTGGCAATATAAGCCAAAATGCAAAACAACTTACATGTGAAGGATGCATATAAGGCAAACAACAAAGGGCCTCATTTCCAAGGAGTGTAGCAATACATACTACCAAGTTGTTGGAGATTGTCCATTCGGATGTATGTAGACCTATGAAGAACACAAATATTGGAAGATCAAGGTATTTTCTCACTTTCATTGATGATTATTCAAAAAATATTTGGATCTATATTCTTAAAGCCAAGAGTGAATGCTTTTGGAAGTTTAAAGAGTTTAAAGCATTTGTTGGAAAATAAAATGAATGCAAGATCAAGGTACTATGTACGGACAATGGAAGTGAGTACATGTCTAAGTAATTTGATGTTTATTTGAAGAATGAAGGAATTGCTAGACAAACCACAACTCCATACATTCTACAATAAAATGGTATTGTTGAAAGGTCAAATTTAACCATTGTAGAGATGGCAAGGAGCATGTTTCATGCTCAAAACCTTGGCTATGAATTTTAGACGGAAGTTCTGGTGAATGCAATGTATATAAGAAATAGGTGTCCAACAAGTGCTCTTGCATCAATGACACCACAAGAAGCTTGGAGTAGGAGACAACCTCGCATTTTCCATATGAGGACCTTTGGTTGCATTGCATATACAAAAACACTAGATTGTATGAGGTCCAAACTTGATGCAAAAGGTATAAAGTGTGTGTTTCTTGGTTATTATGAAGGTAATAAGGCATATAGGCTAATGTGCTTGGAAACCAAGAAGAT